ATCGAGGTTTTAAGGGCAGAGCGTAAATGCAATAATTGGAACGGGATGGAACGGCGATGTTCCAATATTCGCAGAAATTTTTAACAGCGCGTGTTTGTCCTCTCTTCCCGACTTTCCAACATTTTTCATTGTGCGTAAATAGAGATTCCACGGTGTTACGCTCGTCCGTGGAAAAATTGTCCGTGGAAAAATCGACGCGTGTCACGCGTGGCCTAACGATGTTCGTTCAATTCCATTGCCTAGAGTTTACCGATCGATCGATTCACGTGCACACCGATTAATTCCAAAATATAAACTGTCCAGACCAGAACGAACGAATAAACTGATTATTTGGGAATAAAAAAATTAAACGGCATCATTTGCTGCAACAATGGCCTAACTCGAAAATATGCGAAAAAGACTTTGTTTTACAAAATGTCGAATTGAGAAAACAAATAAAGAGTAACAACGATATCTTGCGTATCGATAATTCGACTAAAAATTTGTATCGTATTTTTGGCAATTCGATGAAATTGGAATAAAAGTTTCGCATCCTCGTATTAATGTAAATAATTTTAAATGGCAAGTAATAGAATGCATCTAACGATTGATTTTACATTTTTAAAAACATTGGAAGAGAAATATACCAATGATGAAATTTTCATTAACAACTTCCTATCGATTACAGATACCAAAACTCCTACTAAAACGGCATATTCAAACCATCGTTAAAAACCATTCTCCATAAAATTACAATCCGCGCCCCATAAATGAACGCAGACGAACACGAAAGAACTATTCGTTAGTTCGAATCCCATTTTACGACAATTCCTCGACCGCGACGAAATTCAACACGAAATTCACTCTTCCACGGCCAGTTTTCGCTCGGAAAACTTAACATCTCTGGACGAGAGAGAAGGGGAACGCGCAACGGGAGGAGCGCACGACGGAAGTTTCGGATCCCCGCGTTAGTTGGGAATCGGGAGTGAATGCATAAGAAATGGCAATCCGAGAGCCACCTTTCTCCCAGGAAAATGGAGAAGTAGGTCGTGGACATTGCAACACGTGAGCCGCTTATATCGGCTTGCACGAAAACCTCTTGCCACCGCGTATGGGAATATAATTCCGGTTTCGTGTCACTCAGTGGCACGAAGAAGAGGATATAACCGGCCCGCTATCTCGGTTCGAGCCTTGCATTTCGCGTTGCGAATTATAGCAAGGGAGCAAATTGAACGAGTTTAATGGTTAATATACCTTAAACGTGACGTAACTTAACGCATGGGAAAATGTATATATATATATATATGGCGCCGCCATCATCACGAATTTCGCAACGATTCCCCTGTTATTACGTTCGTGGTCGTGGACATCTCTGTATCGAAAAACCATCGTTAAAAACCATTCTCCATAAAATTAGAATCCACGCCCCATTAGATGAGTGGCGACGAAAGGAAACGCGGTTTAAACGCGTGGCCAGCCTCCTCGCGGGGAAGGGAAAAAAATTTGTTTCCCCTCGCGTGATAAATGGACGCGAGTGAATAAAATTTGATTGCGATTCCCCATCGACAAATTTCTATTTAGTCAAGTGGCGGGTTAGTTAGGGCACCGGCCAATTAAAATATTTTCGTTGGAGAAACTCCGATGAGGTATCGGTGACGCGAGAACAGCAAACACGGGCGTATAAATTCGACGAGGTACAGACATTCTAAAATAACACCTATCCCGGCGCTCCAAGTAATATAGTTCGGTATTTGAAATAAAAGCACGGTATGGAAGGAGGGTGGGGTATGGAGGCGAGCGAAAACACGGGAATGGCTAATACCGTTCGTACGGGATGGCGAAGGTGTTAATCTTAATCCGCTGACTCTAACGTGGACCAAGTGGATAAATTATCGCTGGAATTAAAGCGAGCGAGAAAATTCATGGTTATGTATAGTGGCTGACAGTGCATTTCAGCCTATTCAATGTACATAATATAGGATATATTCGCTTCAATATAATTTTACTACCTTCCTCGCGACACAGCGAGGAGCAGTAAAATTGATCGAGCATCGAAGATTTCTTGTTTCGAAACGTTTTTAGCATGAAATGACTTGAAGAGAGAGAGAGAGAGAGAGAGAGGGAAAAGAAGAAAGGAAGAAAGAAAGGGAAAATAAGAGTGGAATAATTACAATTCGAACGAATAAAATTTAAAATCGAAAATAATCTCGAAAATCTTGGAAATCTCCGCTTCCCAATATGAACCCGTATAAATTTGTTTGAGTTTGAATTTGATGTTGCTTTATCAACCGGCACACGGCTGCCACACGATACTCTAATTTAGAAACTCGCTATATCACGAAAGTTACTATACCACGCGCGGAAAAGTTACCAACGTGTGCAATCTCGTTCGTGAAATTCGTATTCGTATCGTGTATACACATCGTGAGCCGGATGATTGATGGTGTCGTTCTTTTGAGCGAAAATCTGGCACCGACTTATTCCGTATACGTGCCTTCAAAATTTGTCACCGCGCGAACACTTTGCAACGAACGACCGTGAACTCGCGTGAACTCTGAAGAAAAAAAGAAGAGAAAAAAAAAAAAAAAAACTCTTGAAACGCTACGCGTATCCCCTCAACTTGATTCATTCCACACACACCGGCCAGTCGATTTCCTCCGCGTAAAGCGCGTAACGGGCTTAAGTAACGGGCGAGAGTCGGCCAAATACCGGGCCGTTTAACTAAATTCCGAGTAAATACGATGATGCATCGGCTTGTTCATTCTAATTGCGTCTAAAACACGAGGCGAGCACGCCGAGCAATTCCAACTGCGCGATTCAGGGAACAGGCCGCCGGTCGCACGGTGTTCGTGAATATCCGACGCGTGTGCGACGGGCTTAAAGGCGAGCGTCTACACCGCGTTACACGCCAATAAATTGTCCATGATGATGAACATAAGTTGGATAGTTGTTCAAAAGCGGTGACTTATTTTCTTTTGTGCTATACGAGGCTCTCTATGACCGACATCAATTATTAAATAGAACAAAGTGTTGTGGTTGGAAATATCTACAGGGAAAACAGAATTATTTATAGAGAAATTCACGGTGGTTGATAAACACCGATGTTTGTCAGTTTCGCATGCGTCCGCCCGCGAATTATCGTGCAACGCATTATTTGCATATCGCGCATTAACCACAACAATGCAACGATTGAAACTCCTTTGACGTTAGCTCCTACCTTGACAAATATATCCTCACGATATAATCGTTTACATTATAATAGTCTAACGTTTAATATAGCCGCAAAGAAGGTTTTCTTTAATCGAAAAACGTTTCATTTTCTTTTCCTTGTTTTTCTTCCAAGAATTTAATAGGGAATAATACAAAATATGAGGAAAAAATCCTCTCTCCGAACTTTCTTCGGATATTCGACCGGGATTGCTAAAGAGAAAGAAAGAAAAGAAAAGTAAAGAAAAGAAGGGAAAAAGCACGGTGGAAAAAATAGAAAGCGCAACCGGGGGGATTAAGAAACTTCATTTCACTCGGAATGTTGTTTTCCCCTCGGGAGGAAGTTTTTAATCAAATTACTAAATCGAAAGCACGCGTAGGAGAGTAGCGTTCGTTTCGAATCTCCCGACGAGAGTATCTCTCGAGAGTATCTCTCCGTTTCCGTGTTGTCATTAAATCACGCGATTGTGAATCGAAGAGACGAAGACAAAGTTCCACCTACGTCACGTGACAGCCGCCTTCGTGTCCTCAAGCTGGAACTTTAGACTGCCTAGGACGAGAATTTCGATTGGTCTCGAAATGTCGGGGGAGGGGAAATAATTAAAATAAAGCAGATCTGCCTCTATCGAGAGTTAAACGCGGTGGTGAGAACAGAAATGGCAGAAGGGTTGGCGAAGAGGCGGGCGAAAAAGAAACGACGAGAGAGCGTTGCCTTAGCGCGTCGCGTAAAAGCCTTCGGTTTAGAGGTCTCTTTAATTAGTGCGTCTGTCGTGAAGATAACGAGAAAAACGAAAAAGACATAGAGAGAGAGAGAGAGAGAGAGAAAAGAAAAATAAGCATCGTGACCGGAGAGCTATGCGAAGACTCGTAAATGGATGGAGTGCGAACAATGCCAGATCGCACAAGCATCGACCATTCGTGAGACAGAAACAGCGACAGGGCTCATCTATTATTGGCGCAAAACAGAAATAAAATGCAGTGCGACGGCCTGCGAAACGTATGGTGCTCACATTGTGCCAACAACTTTTGTCTCGCCTTTCGTTTTCAATATTTTTTTCCCCCCGCGCGCCTTCACGCCTCCCCGCACTTGACCTCTCATTTTATTGACCAATTGGAACACGATTTTATCTATTTTATCGCGTGCATATACATCGATATAACACGGCCCTATTGTCGAGCGATGTTCGGCAAGCTCGTGTCAAGAGTCGAGTTGAAACGACACCAGCGACCGACGACCGTCTTGTCGCTTGCTCGTCCTTTTGATATTTCGCTTCGCACGCGTATCATCCATAAATGCATCCCCTGGAATGCAACGCTCGCGTTTACAAACATTCGAAACCGAAAATGCATCGGATGAATCACAGGGGAGACAAAAACAGACAGAGATTACAGAGGGTTCGAACAAAAGCATCGAGTGCGTTTAATTTTGTTTGATTTAATCAATGGCGCTCGAGCGCTTTTGATTTTCCAGCAATTTCCGTGTTGTCGAACAAGTTGGAAAAAAAAGTTGAATTTTGATAACGATTAGAAACCGGAGAAGAAAGATCGGTCGAATGTTTCGTATAAAAATTTCGAAATAAGATATCGTACAAGTTGACTCGTAGATAAACGGATCAACGAGAATATACTAATACTTAATCCTGCGTTATTCTATATTATAATATCTCTTAGCAATGCATAACAAAATCCATCCAGAGATACTAAAAATCATTTTAGTGAAAAAAAAAAAAATGATCATAAACTATGATACAACAATTTAATTATTTATATCTCTGGATCTAAATTGTACCGCAAAGATAATTTTCAAAACTTACCACAGTGATGGGGTAGACCGGGTTAATAATTGTGAAGAGGAGAACGTGGTTTGGTTTGTTATTGTCTTCTCTGAAAAAGAAAAAAAAAAAATTTAATAAACGTGCGATCAGTCGATCTCGTTTCACGCGTGTTTCACTTACCGTTAAAAACCTACAATACTACGGCAATATTTCCTTACGATAAACTCGCTGAATAATGGTAACGATTTAATCGTTGGAAAACGTTAAATCTCCCCCTCCCTCCCTCCTCGTTGTATCGCGCCACGCGAAAACTTTACCGAGTCACGATAGTGAAAAATTTCCGCATTTCGGTAATCGTAGTAGGGAAACGACACGTTGAATTGCAACGTGAAATTACATCAGCACAGTTGGCGAAATTTTTTTTTTTTATTGAATCACAGCTCGCGCTGTGAACCAACAACCCCCAGGGATATTCGATTATCCGGAAAGAAGGAACGAAGGAAAAATCACACAGTCCGGTAATTTCCTTCCGAGATTCAAACGCGGTCGAACGATACAACGAAAAGGGGGAGACGAGTATTGATGGATAGCCTCGGCTATACATTTTTCATACCCGACATCGGTGTATACTCCCTCACCCTCCCTCTCCCCCTTTTTGGCCTCCTCTTTGCAATCAATTGGAAATTCAACTGCCTACCCATTTTTCCGCGAGAAGAGAAAGGAAGAGAGGGATACCCCTGGAATACTCTTGGTTCTGCAATTCAAAGTGGCCAATTCTCCGTTGGCGAATCTGTTGCTTCTACTCTAAATGATTAAACTTTGTGCCTCGAAAACCTCCAACTCGAACGCAAATGAAGAGAAGGAAGGAGGAGAGCGGGGATGGAAAAAAGAAGAAAAAAAGGAAAAACTTCTTAGTTCACCAATAGAGGATATTCTCGTCCGATCTCGATCCATCCCCCCCCCCCCTCCTTCGTAACTAAAATACTTTTTAGCCACCAAGAATGTATCCAAGGAGTATGGAAATGTACTTTGTTTGCGCGATTAAAACGCCAAAGTATCGACGTATCTCTTTATATATATATATATAAATATATCGATCGTTAAAACACTGGAGCGCGTCGGAACGATTCCTTGCATCGTTGCTGCTCGCGAACCAGCGAAGACAATTAACTTGGCCGATCGAAAGAAGGGAGGAACGACAAAGAGAGGAGGAATTGGCCGAGTGATAACGGCCAAGCGATCGCGCCCCGATGGATATAATACGTCGAAATTAATTAAAACGTTGCAGACGGTCGCCGAAAATTTCGCGCTGATTCGAAATACCGTCTCGGGCCAAGTCTAATAATAAGAAGTTAACTCGAGCGTTAAATCCGTGATTCAGAGAGGCAAGAATTTGATATCAATTCCGATATTCCTCTCTCTATGGAATTCGCCATGCCTTTCATCCACGAGATGCTTCAACGGGGATGGGATGGGGACGAATGCATTTTGAATGTATTTTGTCAACGCAAATCCGTTTTTAAATCAACGTGACTCCGGCGGGTGAATCACGAAGTTGATTGCGAAACTTTCGTCGAAATAATATTTTAAACTGTTTTCTTCGCCTCCTTTACTTCGACCTCTTATTCGAGTATGAATCAGCTGATCATCGTGTTTCGTTATCGTATCGTATCGATTAATATATAACGTATCAACGGTATGGGATAAAGTAGATACGAGGGTATTATTATAAAAGGGCCTCATTGTCGAGCGAAACGAGTTAGTTACGCGAGTCAATGGGTCAACGCAACGCGAACATTATAAGATCAATTGTTGAATGAGGACAAGAGGAACGAGTGTGTCTCCGCATATATCGATATTCTAATTATTATAACGCTTAAAATAATCGTATAAACGTCGAGTATGTATTATTTTGAGATAATTTTTACGTGAAAAACTGCAAATGGACTCCGAGGATAATTAATATTTCTTTCGCATACATACCTTTTACGTCGCGGCTCGTCTCCGTACCCGCCATACTCGTGATTCTGAAACAAACACGAACACAACGTATTAACAAAAACGTAATTAATAAAACCCACAACGTAGTAATAATAAAGATATACATATAATAAGAGTAAACAAATTTTTTTTACCAAATTGACTCGCGACAACGAATCGATATATATTTACAATTTTCAATATAAATTAAAATTAAAAACAAGGGTCGAGGGACAAGTGAAAAAGAATTCGGAAATTTCATTCTACTTTTTCCTCGAAAACGTTTTCTCTTTTTTTGGATTTCACTCTTATAATATAAAACAAGATTTGGAAAGAATACGAAATATGTTGGAGATGTTCGGAATGGAAGTGGTAAAAGTGTTTCTCGCAAAACCAACGTTTATTCCGAATTCCAGTCCCTTATTCCCGGTAATAAAATAAAATTTTTAAAAAAAGCAAAGTTTTCACAGTTAAAACGAGAAATATTCCCCTCTCAAAGCATGCCTCTTTTGAGTTCCTTACTCCTTATTCAGAATTCACCTCCCACGAACACAATCCAACGAGCATTCGAAAGTAATAGAAAAATATAAGAGGGAGAGAAAAGGAATTTCGCGAAGCTTTGCAGATCGAAAACAAAAATTGCTTCGATATCTGCGATTCAAAAAACTAGCGACCATTCACTCCGCGAGCTTTCGATTCTCGCGCCATCATCCGCTCTCTATGCGCGTATCTATGTGGCGAATCGATTGCATAAGAGAAATTCACGTTGCGATTTTGGCTGAATTTCGATGGCGATGTCAGCGGGGATGCGTACTCGGGCAAATCTATTAATACACGTTCACGCGTCTTTTTACGACAGCACCCAAAGCGACGGAAATAGTGCAGCGAGATACTTTAGGGGCGGTGGATGTTGGATATCGTAGGTAAAACCCTTAAAGCGTACGCGGAATATCGTTTCAATCGATTATCGGGAAATAACGCTTGACGGTTTCAAGCACAATTTAAACGAAACTTGGAAACATTGGTGAGATATAGAGTGCAGATATATTTCGTGGAATCGAGTATTTTAAATAGCTAAAGCAGCATATAATTTATCGTACAATGGAATCTCGAACTTGCGAACATAATATGAGACAATATATGTATATATATATATATATACATATGATTCGAGAGATAGAGAGACGTGGGATGACTCAATTTTCCAATGAATGGGCCACGTGGTTCCGCGTTCTGAGAACGTTCTGAGAACTAATTTTAGATTACCTACGATTTCAATTTACTTTAATAAAATAAAGAGAAAAAAAATTTGACCGTGCGACGATGAATGAAAATTATAATACAGAATTTTCGTTTAATAATGGATGATGATGGATGATAATGAAGAAAAGTACGTATTTCCGAATAGACGAAAATACGATAAACGATATCTTCAATGTTTGTCCGATAATAGAGTTACGAAACTAATTTATACTATCCACGGCGTGTATTGAAGATAGAAACACCGTTTAATCATAATTCTGATGAAATTCAACAAAAGCGCTTACGTAAGTGCGTTTCAACCGGAAATAATTCAAAGATATCGAGGTTGGAGAAAAATTCCAAGACTTGGAAACCAGCAGAATCGAGAAGACGAGAGGAGGCGAGAAGAGTGGATGTAATCGAATAACAAGTCTCTGTTAGAAATTAACATTCGTTATTCGTCGCCAGAGCGGTACCAATTAACCGTTCTTTTATACCGAAAGCCGGCCTCTATAAAGGTCATTTAAATTTCAATTCGAGTTTCTCGCCGAATCGTTGTTTTGTCGGTCTATATTTAAAAGTAGTCGCGAATAGAGCCATGTCGATTTGAATTTCACAGCGACTCCTGCGCCAAAATTTCCCTTCCTTTTTTTCGCAAAACCGATTACGAGGCGAACGATTCGAATTTCCAATTCGAAATCCACCGGGAAGAAGAGTTTTAGGTAGATAATTTCCCATCCTTTAATTCGATGCGTGGAGAGAACGGCGCAGTCTGTGCCAAAGTATTCGAAAAGTGAAACATTAAAAGAATAATCTCTCTTTCTCTCTCTCTCTTTCCCTCTCTAATACGATTAACACTTCGATTCGCCCAGGCAAAAGCGCATTTTCGCAAGGATTGTTCGAGACATTAGAGTCGAGACGAGTCGAACGTCACAACACGAAAATATCGAAAATATCGATCCGATCTCTATCCGCCGTGGAACAAACTATCGATCCAACCTTGCGATAACGTTATTTAATCGAGACCCTCGCCTAGAGAGCACTTTGTACGTCGAGAACAGAGGTTCGAGCTGATTCGTTTCCAAATATTCTTGAAAAACAAGGAGAGCAAAGATGTAGAAAGAGTAGCAAAGCGGGCATATGTCCAAGTAAAATCTCGTTGAGAGAGAGAGAGGAAAAAAAAGGGGGAGGGGGAAAAAGGAGGAGGGGAAGACCGCGGTCCAAGATTTCTGACGGCATGTCGCATAGTCGTATATACTGCATAGTATCGCCGTTACGAGGCACGGTGAATCCCACGTAGAATCTCTGATACGTTGTTATAAACATAACTCAACGTTGGCTGCACGCCAACCACGTGGTTTCACGCTCAATGGATCGCGCTGACCGCCCGAAAAAAAATATCACCGTCAACGCCCCTCGTTCCTGATAAATTTTCGCGTATCGCGATAGAATGAGCGGGATCTCGCGTAGCCTCGATCATTCGCGTCACTTCGTTCCCGGAATTAACGGACGAGATCGGATTGCTCGCCAAACGCGCGTTAGCATTCAATGTTTTTCACCCGATTGTAAATCGAAATCAAAATTTTATACATTTATGGAAATTCAATTCATTCGAGAATAGATTAGACGCATATTATGAAGTATAAATATATATATATTTCATATATATCAAGTCGATATCGAGAAGTGTAATTTTTTTTTTCTTGCTTATCTAGAAGATTATTGTCGTGTTATTGTTGATCAAAAAGAAAAAAGAATCAAGCGAAATGTACAAAAATACTGATTCATAGAGAAATAATTTATAATCAAGTTTAAGATGGATCAATAAAGATGTGGATAAGTGAGAATCGTTAGAAAAGAGTAAAATGAAAACAAGGTGAGGGTGTCGCGTCGGAGTCAAGGGAAAGTCGATTGGCCGGCTGCCAGCCACGTGCTGATAAAGAGATTAACCGCAAGAACAATGCTTATGTTCCGTAATGACTTAGTTTCTACATGGGGGCCAACTTTCTCGAGATCTATTTTCCCCCTTCCCGAAAGTACAACGGACGAAACAGCAAGCGCTCCTTATTTCCAAGCCACGCCTCGACTTTCTTATCGTTCATTACTCTCGGCCACGCCAAGGTTATGTTCTTACGAGCCATTAATTTCCACCGTAATTCCCCCAAACCTTCCACATTGAGAGAAGAACGTATTACCCCCATTTTTGGACGGCGCAAAAAGACGGAGCGTGGAAAAAGTTTTCACCCGCTCTTCAACGCTACGAGAAATTCCTCGTTGGAACAACATTCCTTTCTCGAGCGGCGAAGGAATTTCGCGAGCCTCGTCTTCTCGCCACTTCCTTTTTATCCAACCGTATTCAACGACGATGACACGTGCGACGATGACACGATTTGACGAAATTACGAGGAACTCCCCTTCCCCCTCCCCCTCCTCCAAAAGTCTCGCCCTTTCAACGATCCCGGCCTAGAGAATGGCTGCGTGCAAGCACGAGCCTGTGTTAATTCATCGCGAACAAGATAATTGGGCCACCGCACAGATTCCTCTACGGTACAGAGGAGGTGGAAAGGGTTATGCACAGGTGCGCATGGATGCGGGTGGAAACCAGCCTCGAGCCGGATCGCTTTAACATTTAATGTCCTTTCCCTATGAATTTTCCAAGGAATCACATGCACCGGGTTAAATCCCGTTTACGCGATCCACTTAATTGCGTTACGGTCTCCGGTACAGTGGTGCACGCGCGTGTTCAGACACGTGGATCGGATCATCCGGCATGCCAAAAGATACCAATACAGCGGAGGAGACTAATCTCGTCGCTTTGGATTAGTCGGTGCAACGATACGAAGCGTCTCGCGATTAATAAAATTTGGATCGGAATATATCGAATGTTCCTCGTTGTCGAATAAAAAGAAGAAGAAGAAGAAGAAAAAGAAGAGGAAAAAGGAGGAGGGGGAGTAGGAAATGCGTTGCATCGCAACTGGGGGTATGGATATTAAAGTGGAGGGAGGGGATGAAGAATTTTTTGTACGGAAGAAATTATAATATCGGTGGCGAAACGGTACTCGATACCGGCCAATCTCGAGAAATTATTCGCTGCACGTGGCCGAGTATTAATACCCGATGCGAATATCGTTCGAGGGAAGAAATTCAGTGGCTCAGTTCGATACTTTCTAATATGTTCGATTAGACGGAAGGAGCGAAGCTAGGTGATTGGCAGAACTTTTTCGGCGACCTCCTTTCGAGGCGAAACTGGACGACAGCTTCGAAAGAGAGTGGCACACGTGACCAAAATCGGTGAAGAAAATGGACGAAGAGTTCGAATACAGGGAACTATTTCCCATTGATTCGATCGGTCAAACTTTTGGACAATAAAATATTAACACTATAAACCAAACTATTAGGGATAGTATTAGTCGACACAGTCTATTACAGACATAATCGTGGTCAAGTCAATGTACCAAGATCCTAAATCATCGTCGGCGTGGCAGAACCTTTTCGTTCCAACCAATTGAACGTGAACGTAATTATTAGAGCAGAACAATGCGCGCCGCCAACACGCTGCGCGGTCAGCTTCGTTAGGTGCGTTTTCAACGAACGCAAAACAGCAAAGCAGAGGTTTGATATTAAGAGGAAGTATTATTCGGTGAACAACATTCCCCGGTTGAACCCTCGATTCGTGTGCGAGGAATGCGACACGAAAGTATTCGCGCTGATCGACTACGATTTTTCACACCTCCCTTTCGTAATAAAAGAAGGAAAATCGAAGTTGCATAAAAATACCACTTCGCGGAGGAATTTCGCGTAACGA